TTCTTGGGGTTTGTTAGCCTCCTCAGGCTAAAGGAAAAGCTTTAGTACTGGGGGAAGCCCTTACCAGGGCTGGAGAGAAAAGGAGGAAACCATGTGTGTTCGGGGGCTGCAGGGTGACCAAGTGATACCTGCAAGCCTCTGTTGGAAACACAGTGATGCTATTGGCCACTTTCAGGCAGCCACCCACCTGCAGCCAGCCCACGGTTTCCCTCCTACGAGCTCCTTCTCATCTCCCACAGAATGGGAGTTTTTCTTGATTAAAGGGGTGATTGCCTTGTAATTCTCCTGCCTCTAAGGCTCACTCTATTGCACGATACTTCCTCCCTTATAATCTCTAAAATTCATAGGAGAAGGAAGAGAGAATGGTATGGCGGAAAGGTTGGAATCAGAGTCCAGAGGGCCTGCTTTCCACTAAGAGAGTCCAACACATTTCTCTGGGGGGACATGTGGAGGCTCTGTCTGTTTCAATTTCAGTACTTGAGAATCCACCAGGTTGTTGTTGTTTTAAGATTTACTTGTTTATTCTAGAGTGAGAGAGGGAGAGCACAAACAGGGGTGGGAACAGAGGGAGAGGGAGAGAATCTCAAGCAGACTCCCCGCTGAGCACAGAGCCTGACACAGGGCTCGATCCCAGGACCTGGAGATCATGACCTGAGCCAAAATAAAGTCGGTTGCTCAACCAACTGAGCCACCCAGGTGCCCTGTGGATCCACCATATTTTTAACTAGAGATTGTCCCAGGACCCAGAGCAGACCAAGATGGCCACAGCCATGTGGGTTGTGGGTCCAAACCACACAGAACAATAGGCTTAAGATGTTGGCAGGTCCTAGGAGTAAGTGAGATGACATAAGAAAAAAGGTTCTTTAGAAATTCAGTTTATAGAGGCTCCTGGGTGGCTCAGTCGTTGGGCATCTGCCTTCGGCTCGGGTTATGATCCAGGGTCCTGGGATCGAGCCCTGCATCGGGCTCCCTGCTTGGTGGAAAGCCTGCTTCTCCCTCTCCCCCTGCTTGTGTTCCCTCTCTCGTTCTCTCTCTCTCTCTCTCTCTCTCTCTCTGTCAAATGAATAAATAAAATCTTTAAAAAAGAAAGAAATTCAATTTATAATTCCCCATCACTTGATTGCTGGTACCTTAGGTCATTCAGCTAGACAAAGTCTTGTGAACCAGATGAGAATGGATAAATTCACACCCACTGCCAATCCTTCTTTCAGGTGGACAACACTCAAGACTTCTTTGGGAAAGGAGAGGGGAGGGATGTGGCGGTGAGGCAGGGAAGGGTTTGACTACTCTGAGGACAGGCCATTCACCCCGACGCCTGACCCAGGAAGTGAGGGTTCAAGGCATTCAGCCATTTCTTGGCATGCCAGGGTGCTCTCTGCCCCAGCAGCAGTGGGAGCTCCCACAGATGGTGCCCATTCTCTTGACTGACCCCTCACTCTGATATGGCATCACGAGAGAGTCTGTTGCCTTTTGAGGAGCCCTATACGACTGGGTCTCAGCAGCTGCCTCCCTCCACGGTGGCAGGGCAAATGTGCGAGCTACACACTAACTGTCATCTAGAGAAACCTCAGGCTCTAGACAACTGAGCCCTGACTGGATGGCTGGGAGACCTAGGACTAACTTTAGCTTCTCAGGTGACTGAGGACCTTGTTCCATCAAATGTGTAATGGGATTGAGAGTTACCTCTCTGGCTGGGTTCACAGAGTGAGTCACGTGAGTTGATGTGGAAACTGTAAAGCACTGTGCTCATGGTGACAGTGGACATCATTGCTTGGGCTGGAGAGCCAGGTCACCTGGATTCAAATTCTGGCTCATCTAGCCTCTTAGGGAAACATAAGGATAATGATTGCACCAAGCACGTAGGTGTTAGGGTTGTGATGATTAAATGAGCCCATACACGTAATGCATGTAGAAGCTGAGCAAGTAGTACGTGCTGAGACACCCTCACTGGTGACGATCCCTGGAACAGGGTGCTTGGGGGGCTTGGAAGACTGTGCAGATGGGGTTAGGTAGAAACTGGAGAAACTGTCACTCAGAAACAGTAGGCAATTTTCTTTCAAGTGGAGAATACATTTTACTTTTGGAAACATCCCTGACTTAGAATTTTATAATAATGGAAATGTAAAAAGCATAGGCCCCTTCTCCCACTTCAGGTATATTGAGTGTCGAGCTGAACTTGTAAGGGTTGTGAGCTGGCCTCCCATGTGGAGGTAGATTGCAGATACTTGGGTTTGTAGCTTTCCAGAAGCATTTTCCACAGTGTTTTGACCATGACCCCAGGAAGAAATACATTCTACATCATAGGCACACACTCATACTCCAAACAAGTTTCATGAAACTATGCCTACCTTACTTCCTTAATAAGCACACTGATATTTCTCTCTCTCTTTTTGGGAGGGGGATATGCTGTTTGTAATCCAGTAAGTGGATATCATGATCCACTGATGGGTCTGGACCTAGTAGTCTAAGAAGCTGCGCTATGAGGGAACCCACAGGGGGGGGTCTGGCCTGACCGAAAGAGTGGCCCTTTCCCCTCCAGTACTCCTTCATGTGGTCCCTAAAGCTTTACGATGGTTCTATCAGAAACTGCAGGTTGGTCTTGGCTGAGTCATGGGGGGTTCAGGGAGGGCTCTCCACACTGCTGGGCACACAAGAGCAGAGTCCCTTCTCTAAAGCCAGAGCGGCAGTTAGGATGAGCCACACACGAAGGACAGGGATCCTTGCGTTTCAGCCTTAGCGGCAGCACACAACACACACTCACAAAACGGCTGAGCAAGCAAGAACAGGGGAGAGTGCCCTGGACTGGGGCTAGTTGTAGGCTCTGCCCTGTGACCTGGGTCCTCAGTTACCCGACCTGAGAAATGAAGGCCTGGGTCTCTGGGGACCTCCCAGCAGAACAGACAGGCCAGGCCACAAAGCCTGGAACTCACTTCGGGGAGTGGAGAGACCCAATGTGGCACCATCCTGTATGCAGCTTATGCAAGGGTAAGGGGCCCTGCTGGTGTGGTGTTTTTCAGCCTCAAGCTCTTCTTCAAACGAGATTTGAGATGCTGAAAGGCTACTTTCCTCCTAGGCTCAGGTTGATGGGATGTTCACAGGAGTCATGTGACTCCCTCGTGGCTGCCTCAACCCACACCCTCATCCCCCAGGATTGGAGAGCCTCTTATGAGGTGGGCTGAGGAAGAGGCTGGTGGGAAAGTGGGGAAGGAAGGTCTGGGGACAGTTCCCAAACCTTCCCCCCAGGATGGTATCAGCTTCTAAAATCCCCAGTCATGACCCCCTGTTTAAAAAATCAGGCCTGAGTTTGTTTCCTCATTTGACAAATATGTATTGAGCTGATATCTGGCAGATACAGCAGTGGGTATAGGACACAAAGATGTCCAAAGGCAAGGTCCCCATGCTCCAGGAGCTTAGGGTCTTAGTGGGGGACACAGTCAATAAATAAACAAGATCCTATCCAAGAATGACAAGTGTTTTCAGGGAATCAGAAGGGGTAATGGGATAGAAAGTGACTGGGGTGGGGACCAATTTTGGGGGGGTGGTAACAAGAATACACCTTTTGAGGAAATGGCATTTGAATTTTTTTTTAAGATTTTATTTATTTATTTGAGAGAGAGAACGAGATAGAGAGAGCGAGCATGAGAGGGGGGAGGGTCCGAGGGAGAAGCAGACTCACTGCTGAGCAGGGAGCCTGATGCAGGACTCGATCCCGGGACTCCAGGATCATGACCTGAGCGGAAGGCAGTCGCTTAACCAACTGAGCCACCCAGGCGCCCTGGCATTTGAATTTGATGAAAAGATGCAAAGATCTATGCTTCCCAAATGACAGTCTGAGAGCAAAATACAGATCCCCAGGCCCCATCCTAGACTTATGGAATGAAAATATAAGGGGCAGGGCACAGGGATTTGCATTTTTCTTCCAAATGATTCCCATGCACAGTAAAACTGGACACCTACTGCCCTGTAGCTTTTACTTTTAGAGAAAGTTCACCTTGGTGAACTTTTGGGACCCTTCTAACGCCTGGCGCCTGTGGTTCAGGGAGGGGAACTTCTATGTGTGTGAAGGCCTGGGTAGAGAGAGGAGCAGGACCGCTTCTAGTCAGATGGCCGGATGCAGAAACTCACAGCGCCTGCCTCTCCGTGGCTGTCACAAGTTCTAAAACTGATCTCAGAGATGCCCTCCTTCATCCCAGTGCCCATGCCCTCTCATTTAATTTCACCTGCTGTGAGGAGGGTGCAGTTTTAGCACCCTAGATTAGGCGCATCTCTTGCTTTGGGAACATTTCAGACAGTTGGTTTGAACTCCCTCCAGGCATATTTTGTGATTCTGCCTACATCTCTGCAGCCCCAGCCCATCTGTCTGTCCCAGATCTGGTACAGAGGTCTTCATGCTGTGGGCGCTGGGACCTGCTTGGCAACTGACTCCCTGGGAGCGTTTGGTTTTAAGCGAGCAGCAACTGCCCCTGTAGGGACATCCACTGATTCACAGAGGACACAGGAGCCACGGATCAGGCAAGTCTTCAGTCTCTCTCAGCCTGTGTGGTGAGAAGCAAGGTCCCCCAGAGAGCAGGAAAAATCAAACCCGGGGTGTTTGCCTACAAACGCTCTTTACCCTCTCTTCGTTTCCTGTGTTGTAGGTCCCGCCTCCCCTGGCCTCAGTTTCCCCATTTATTCAATCTATCCAACCCCCACCCCAGTATTGCTTTGGGAGTAGAAAAAGTGGGGTTGCTTGAAAAGCAGCCCTTCCTACTCTCATCCCCTCGCCCCTGCTCCTCCAGCGCCCGATTTCTGATTTCCGGCTCGGGGGCCGCACGTGCGGCCCTGCGCCTCAGGAAGGCCCTCATAGGCGTGTCCTCCGCAGGGGAGGAGGGAGAGGGAGAGGCGGCGGCCAGGTCGCAGCTGAGGCCGGGCACCGCCACCCTCCGCCCCCGGCCCCCAGCGCGGATTCCGCAGCGTCGCCGGCAGCGGCCCGCGCGCCCGGCCCGGCGACCCTGCGCGTTGGAGCCGCGCCCCCGGGAGCCGCAGTGCCCAGCGGCCTGGGGTCGGCGCAGAGCGCGCGGGGAGCCGGCGGGGAGCAGGAGCAGGTGAGCCAGCGCCATGGGGCAGGCGGGCTGCAAGGGGCTCTCCCAGTCGCTGTTAGACTACAAAACCGAGAAGTACGTCATCGCCAAGAGCAAGAAGGTGGGCCTGCTCTACCGGCTGCTGCAGGTCTCCATTCTGACCTACCTGGTGGTGTGAGTTCTCCGGGGGCTTTCGGGGAGGGGGGCGGGGGGAGAGGGAGGCTCTGGGCCGCCCTGTGCCCTTCCGGGGCCCGGGAACTGGACGTGCGTTCCCTGTGCTTGGGAAGGGGCTCTTGGGTGTAAGAGTGGGCAGGTCAAGGGGGAGCCCTCTGGTTCCCCACCGGCTCTGCAGATGCTGAGCTGCGGGCAGGGACTTCAGCTTTCCTTCATTTATGAGGCTCTCGGTGGGCTGCTCCTTCCTTCCGGCCGAGCTCTGAGTGTTAGGGCCATCGAGGGGGGCAAAGACGCAGGGGGGCTGGGCTCCAGCTGTTGCCCTGGGAGCCTCCCTGGTCCTTTGGCCTGGTGCAGGCCCGGGCACCGGGTGGGTTATTTATAAACACCGAGCTCATGTGCCAGGCTCCTGGTTGGGGCAGCTCATCAGCCTGGCATGTCTCAGCACTCCCTTCTGTCAACTCACCCCATCCCTGGCTGGCTTCTCTGGGATCCTGCTAGGGGTCCTGCTCAGAGGCCCACTACCCGGCTCCCAGCTGGACTGTCTGCCTCACCTTTAACCCCTCCCCGAGCAGCTCCTTGGAGATGCTCAACCAGGCACTGTTCAGAGCCCCCCCCCCCCCCCAAGAAGGGAGGGACAGGTGGAAGGAGGAAATGACACCAAATGAGTAGGAGGCTGATGTGCCTCTTTTACTGCCTCAGTAAATGCTGTTGAGTCCCTCCTATTTCCTGACTGGGCCCCCTGACCTCACTAGGAGATCAGTGCCCATGGAGCTTCATTCCTAAGGAACCTGAATGCCTCCCACCCCAGGGCCTTTGTACATGTCGGTCCTCAGCCAGGCGCGCCTTTACTCCTCTACTTGGTTAAAGCCCACTTGTCCTTCAGACCCAGGTTCTTGAATAACTCCTCTGATATATTCCGTAGGGATCGTTTGCTTGTCTGCCTTCCGTCCAGTGGCGGGGGCGGGGAACACCATGAAGGCACACAGGGCCTGGCATCACCTAACTGCTTAGGAAGCAGGTGTGAAATGAATGAATGAATGTGCATTGTTCCTTGGCATTTGCTGAATGTTCCTGTCCAGGCTGGGCCCAGTGTCCCTACTCATTGTCACAGCCGTCTCAGGTTTCCTTGGGGACAGGAGAGTCTAGGGCCTAGGATGTAGCAGGTCTGCCCCAGAGATGAAGAGAGTGGGCACATCTTGGTTGGCACCTGCTATACAAAGAACCCTTACTGGCATGCTGGGAGGTGCAGGGCACCCCCGGCCACTCCTGCATGACCTCAGGCAGGCAGCTTCCGGCCCTCTCCTGGACTCCGTTTTCCCAGCTTTCCCAAGGGGTTAACCTGGACGATCTCTAACGTTTTTTTTTTTTTTAAGATTTATTTATTTATTTACTTGAAAGAGAGAGAATGAGAGAGAGAGCACATGAGAGGGGGGAGGGTCAGAGGGAGAAGCAGACTCCCTGCTGAGCAGGGAGCCCGATGCGGGACTCGATCCCGGGACTCCAGGATCATGACCTGAGCGGAAGGCAGTCGCTTAACCAACTGAGCCACCCAGGCGCCCTGGACGATCTCTAACCTTAACAGTAAACGTCAACAGTAGGCTGGTTAGAGCCTATTTTGAGTTCTTCCGTGGCCATTTACATGTGCCATCGCATTAAAAAAAATTTTTTTTTTTGTATTTCAACAAAAGTTTAGACTTACAGAAAAGTGACAGGAGTAGTACAAACTTTTTAAAACGTCCTTCACCTAGATTCCCCAGATGTTAACATTTTACTACATTTGTGTTGTCCTTTCCCTTTTCTTTCCCCACATACACATGATGTGTGTGTATATGCAATTTTTTCTGTTTAAGGGTAAGTTGCAGGGGCGCCTGGGTGGCTCAGCCGGTTGAGCGTCTGGCTCTTGATTTCAGCTCAGGTCATGGTCTGCTGGTGTGAGATCTGATCATCGGGGAGTCTGCTTCTCTGTCTCTCCCTCTCCCTCTGCCCCCACTAGCACTCTCTCTCTGAAATAAACAAACAAACAAATAAATAACTCTTTTTTAAAAAAGAGTAAGTTGCAGACATTATGCCCCTCTACTACTAAAGACTTCAGTGCATATTTCTTAAAACCAAGGAATTCTCTTATTTAACCAAGTACAGCTATGAAAATTAGGTAATTAACACTGAAACAATATTATTTTCTAACCTATGGACCTCTTGTAAATTGCTCTAATAATTACATTTAATAGCAAAAAATATATATATATCTGAAATCCTGCCTTGCATTCATTCATTCATTTTGTCTTCTTAGTCTCCTTTAATCTGGAATTGTACCCAAGACTCTTTGTATTTTCTGACACTGATGTTTTTTGAAAAGTACAGGATTTTTATTTTATTACAACTTTTTAATTGAAGTAAAATTTACCTAGCATGTAATTCACCATTTCAACTATTTAAAATTATACTATTCAGTAGTTTTTAGTACATTCATAATGTTGTACAACTATCACCACTGTCTTATTTCAGAACATTTCCATCACCCTTAAAAGAAACCCATGTCTATTAGCAGTCGGAATTCTCCCCTACCCCATCCCTTGGCAACCACTAATGTACTTTCTGTCTCTGTAGATTTACCTCTTCTGGACATTTCATATAAATCAAATCATACAACATTTTTTTGGTCTGGTTTCTTCACTTCACATAATGTTTTCAAGGTTTATCCATGCTATAGCGTGAATCAGTACTTCATTGCTTTTACGGCTGAATAATACCCACATTTTGTTTATCCATTCATCTGTTGACAGACATTTGGACTGTTTCTACCTTTTTTTTTAAGATTTTATTTATTGATTTGAGAAAGAGAGATAGCATGAGCGGGGGAGGGTCAGAGGGAGAAGCAGGCTCCCCGTGGAGCAAGGAACCCAATGTGGGACTCTATCCCAGGACCCTGGGATCATGACCTGAGCTGAAGGCAGACGCTTAACCAACTGAGCCACCCAGGCGCACCTGTTTTTGCTTTTTGGCTGTCACGAATAACATTACTAAGAACATTCATTACAAGTATTTGTGTGGATATGTTTTCAGTTCTCTTGGGTATATATTTTGGCAGGAAGTTGTTGGGTCAACTACCAGCTGTTTCCCACAGCAGCTGCACCATTTTACATTCCTATCAGTGAGTCCCAGTTTCTCTGCATCCTCACCAGCACTTGTTATTTTCTTTTATATATTTTTTTAATTACAGCCAACTTATTCGGTGTGAAGTAGTATCTCATTGTGGTTCTGATTTTCATTTCCTTGATGCCTAATGACATTGAGCATCTTTTCATGGGCTTATTGGCCGTCTGTTTATCTTCTTTGGAGAAGATGTCTACTCAAATCCTTGGCCCATTTTTAAATTGGGTTATTTGTCTTTTTCATTGCTGAGTTGTAGGAGTTCTTTATATATTCTGGGCACTAGACCCTGACCATGTGATTTGCAAATATTTTCTCCCATTCTGTGCATTATTTTTTCACTTTCTTGATAGTGTCCTTTGATGCACAAAAGTTTTTATTTTTTATTTTTTTTGCACAAAAGTTTTTAATTTTGATGAAGTTCCACTTATCTATTTTTTCTTTTATTGTGTGTGTTTGGGGTGTCAAAGAATGTAGGATTCGTACTCTCATTTTGTAGAATGCCCCTTAGTTTGGATTTGTCTGCGGCCTGTCCGTGAATAGTTTCAGGTTATGTACCATCTCCTTTAACTGTCCTCACATCCCTGGGGGAGGCACTGTTACCCTGTGTTAACTCCCAGAGTTCATTGCCTCTCCCGAGATCACATCCCCAGTGCATGTGTGAGCAGGTTTTGGCCCAACCTGGGCCATTTTCAGGGCCTCAGCCCCTGAGAGTAGCTGTCTTCCTGTTCTGGGATTGCTTGTCACCTCTGCTGCTTGCAGAACCAGGTTTTAGGCAGCAGTGGAGTTTTGACCCCTGCCCAGGAGCTGGTGGGAAAGGTGAAGCCCCTGGGAAAATTCCCTGAGGGCAGCAATGAGGCTGATGCCCACCTGTTGACCCTTTCCCTGCAGCTGGGTGTTCCTGGTGAAGAAGGGTTACCAAGACACTGACACCTCCCTGCAGAGCAGCATTGTCACCAAAGTCAAGGGTGTGACCTTCACCAACACATCTGAGCTCGGGGAGCGGCTCTGGGATGTTGCCGACTATGTCATCCCACCCCAGGTCTGAGTCCCACACAGCACTAGGGCCCGGGCTAGCAGGGCCTGGCTTGGCGGGGGGGGGTCACATAGGAAGGTGCTCAGGTACCTAGGGACTCCCTTGGCCCGGGACAGCTGCCAGAGTTTGCAGATGGAGACCCTGCCCGGAGCCTTCCCTCCACACCGACCCCCTGCTTTCCTTGACTGTGCCTATGAGACCCGTTCCATCCCAATAAACCCCGAGCCTGTAAAAACCAAATGGGGCCCCAAGAATGTTCAGGTCAGTGTGAGTTAGGTGGCCTGGCACAGAGCACTGCTTCCTTATGTTAGCCACTGGCTGCCCTTGGGAATGGCTCCCTGGCCTGCTCACAACTGGCCTGGGCCAGGGCCAGGGCCTGGGCCACCCTGTCTGGGCCTCTTCTCCCAGATCTGGGCTTGGATCCCAGGGACTGAGGTCAGAATAAGAATTCATGGAGGGAGCAGTTTGGGATTGTGGGCCTGAAAGGGACCTATCAAAGGATGTCTGCTCAGAGACTTCAAAGTCAGTGGGCAGATGGGTAGGATCCACTGATTTTGTGGCCCTGTTGTCCTCAACACCCATGCAGAGACCCAACCCTTGCCAGGAAGCCCTGGGAAGGAGGGTCCCCAAGAGGGCAGGAGGGTGTCCCTCAACTCCTCTCTGGCTCCTCAGGGAGAGAACGTCTTCTTCGTAGTCACCAACTTGATCGTGACCGCCAACCAGCGGCAGGAAACCTGTGCTGAGGTTTGATGTGGTGCAGAAAGCAGGGGAGGGGGTGGGAGAGCCTCCAGCTGTGGTTGGGGCCTACCCTTCTCCTGAAGCAGGGGATTCTATCCCCTCCAAGTGCCCCAGGGGATATGTGTACCAGAGCACGTACCTGCAGTGTTTGGGGGAGAGAAGCAGGTTCTTAAAGGGTGTGTGACCCCACTCAGGGGAGGAACCCCTGTCCTGATTCCTGGGGTGGGACCTGGTTCTGAACTGGGGCCCCTGCAGGGAAGTTCCCCCACCCAGGTGCCCTTTCTTTCTGACAGAGCGAAAGCATTCCGGATGCCTGGTGCTACACAGATAGTGACTGTCCCCCTGGGGAGCCTGTTGTGGCTGGAAATGGTGAGGCCTGGAATGGTCAGGGCTGGGAGCACAGTGGGGGATGGAGCCAGGAGGCTTCTAGCATCATCTCTGCCCCAATCCTACAGGAGTGAAGACTGGCCGCTGCCTGCGGGTGGGCAGCATGCAAAGGGGCACCTGTGAGGTGTTCGCCTGGTGCCCCGTGGAGACAAAGCCCAGACCAGTGTGAGTGGCTCCAGCCTCAGGACCCAGAAGAGCTCCCTGGGCAGTGAGTGGGTCTCAGCCTGATGGTGGAGACACTTCTACCCTGAGATCCTCTTTCCGAGGACACCCTACCAAGCCCTAGGACCACCCCAACACGAGCAAATGAATGGTCTTTGGCAAAGGCTCCAGGGGCTGCAGGGAGTGGGCCAGCCCCAGCACTGCCACAGGCCTGGGGGGATGTACAGAGGGAGCAGGGGCAGGGCCTCCTGGACAAGCTGTCCCGGCTTCATTTTCAGGAAGCCACTGCTGGGCAAGGCTGAAGACTTCACCGTTTACATAAAGAACTTCATTCGTTTCCCCAAATTCAACTTCTCCAAGTACGTGGGACTTGGTTCCTGGGGATCTGCCTCCTTGTCACTGTGCGTGGGCCCGTGTGCATGGTGTGGAGGTGTATGTGAATGAACCACCAGGTGATGCTGGAGCACCCCTTCCTCTTGCTGTGGGAGTGGGGTTCTGTCCTTGAATGCAATAGGTTAGTGGGGTGTGCTGAGGGGGAGTAGTCAGGACTTGAGTCGAGGCTAAAGTCAGGGACTCAGCCTGGGCCAGGTAAAGGCCCAGCGACTCCTGGGCCAGGCTGTCTCTGGCCTGGGAACGGCAAGTCTCAGCTTCATTTCACTGTCTGTTTGTGGCCTCCATCCAGGACCAATGTGCTAGACACCAATGACAGAGCTTTCCTGAAATCCTGTCGGTTTGGCCCCAAGAACCCCTACTGCCCCATCTTCCGACTGGGGTCTGTGGTCAGCTGGACGGGGAGCAACTTCCAGGAGATAGCTGTGCAGGTGAGTGGCGTGCTCTCAGGGCACCGTGCCCGGGGGCCAGGGGGCCTAAGAGCTCTGGGTCTGGGCTCTGTCACGAAGAGGATGGTGAGTAGGGGGACCTGTGGGGTGGGATGGACAAAGTTCCCTGCCCCAGGGACTCACTGTCTTCAGAATTAGCTATGACACACAGTCTGTCAGAACTCAGGCATCAGTGGGAGGCACGCTGAGCACCTGCTGTTGGTTCTCAGTCCTTGGGGCATCCGTTGAAACTGAGCCAGAGGGAACCTCACTGGCATATCCTGGCTCTTGTGTGAGGTGCCCATTCCTTTGTAGGTGCTCGCTCACGGAATAATGAAACAGGAGGGTTCTGGGGTTGGGCGCTCTCGGCGATGTGCTTTCCTCAGCCACTCCAAAGGTGGGGCTAGGACCCTGGAACTTCCACCTTCTTCCTGGAAGGATGCTTCGGGGGGCTGACCCTTGGCCTGAGTACTTTTCCCATCTTGTCCAGCTCCCTGTGAGGAGCTGGTCTGTGCCTTTTGTCCACTCCACAAAGTTCTGTGCACTGAATCTTGTCTCTTCTTCATCAGGGTGGTGTGATAGGAATTCAGATTGAATGGGATTGTGATCTTGATAAAGCTCCTTCTGAATGCAACCCTCACTATTCTTTTAGCCGTCTGGACAACAAATTTTCAGAAAACTCAATCTCCTCTGGGTACAACTTCAGGTAAGTGGGGCTAGACTTGCTGTCTTGTGACCCGGTCCACATTTTGTCCTCTTCTGGGTGCCAGCACTCTGACACCCCTTATTGGGGGTGGATATTAGAGTGGGAGGTATAGGGAGAAAGAGCTGAGGAAAGGTGAGGGATGGCAAGGGAGAGCATCTCTGGGAAAGGAGAGAAGTTTTTGTCACCCTGTGGGCTCACCAGGAAGCTGAGGCTTGGCTTCTTAACCAGGTCACCTCCCTCAGTGCTTTAGTGGCCCTGGGTTGGCCCAGCATATAGTGGGAAAGCCCTTGCCTCTTAGGGAATGTCTGTAAGGATTTCAAAGATCTGGATGAATCTTTACTGTAATGTTGGCAAGAGGATCTATAACCTCCCCCAAGGCTGCTAAGAGCAGGGTCTTGGGGGCTGCTTATAAATCTCCAAAGCAGCCAAGTATGTGTTGCCAAGCAGGGAAGGTCTCCCCTAGGTTTGCCAAATATTACCGAGATGCTGCTGGAGTGGAGTTCCGCACCCTGATGAAAGCCTATGGGATCCGCTTTGATGTGATGGTGAATGGCAAGGTGTGTGCAGTGTATGTCCCCTCCTGAGGCTGGGCAGGCCCGGAGTGGGGCGTGTTGGAGTCCCTTGGAAGCCTGCTGTCCACCCATCCCATGTTCACACTGCTTTGTTTCTCTGTGCTACAGGCAGGGAAGTTCAGCCTCATCCCCACGGTCGTCAACATTGGCTCTGGGGTGGCGCTCATGGGTGCTGTGAGTACCGCCCCCCCTTCACCTTTACCTGAGCACTGGCCTGGGGGTGGGGGGATCGCTCGGGAGGTGCTGTCCTGATGTTGCAGAAAGAACAAGAGCAGGCGAGGTCGGTGGGATGCAGGTCAGGCTTTCTGGGACCTGACACCTGTCGGCAGCCCCCAGGTGGCAGTGACTGCCCGAGTTTCTGTTTCCAGAGCCAGAGAGCCATCTGCCTGGCGCTCTGGTGCTGGGGGCAGGGCTGGGCTTCTCTAGGATCCGGGGTCAGTCCCTGAACTTCCGAAGCCTCATCTGTGCTGCTGCTGAAAAGAGACGGGACCCAGCTATCTACAGGGTTTCTCAGCTGTCCCTGTTGACATTTTGGGCCAGAGAATTCTTTTTTGTGTGGGGCCCTCTGTGCCCTCTAGGGTGTTTAACAACATGGCGCTGGGCACCTCTACTCACTAGATGCCTGCACTGCCTTCTTCCCCAACCAAAAACGTCTCCAGAAATTGCCTGTCTCCTGGGGAGCAAAAACAAAGCAGGGTGAACATGGGACGGGTGGACAGCATGCTTCCAGGGACTCCAGCATGCCCCACCCCGGGCCTGCCCAGCCTCAGGAGGGGACACACACCGCACGCAGCCCCGTTGAAGGGCACAGGGCTGACAGACGAGCAGCAGGGAAGTCAGGCTGCAGTCCTCCCTCAGATCTGTCCCTTCAGCTGAGCCCAGGGGGCTCACCGGAGAGGAAGTACTTGCTGGAGGGTAGGCAAAGGTTTCCTCCGAATCTCTTGTCGTGCCCCCTTGTTCTTCTGGAAGTTTCTTAAAGCCCTGGGAGCTGTCATGGCTCGTGCCCCTCCCAGCAAGCTCCTTGCCAGGGTTTCTGGCAGCCTCGTCCTCTTTGCCCTGTGGGAGGCTTCCGGCAGGACCTGGGGTGGCCTTTTTTTTAAGACCAGGGGAACAGGATGTGACAAGGCCATATTCTCCTGAGAGGTGGTGGATGAAAGCGAGCCCCAAATGAGTCCTCTTTACTGCCAACCAGCATTGTTAGGGAGCCCTGCACGTTTGCTTCTGTGACTTCCTTAGAGCTGGGCCTCTGTCAGTCATTACTTCCTCACGCTGTGGGTAAGTCAGACACAAGGGCCTGGGGTCCACACATGTGAAATAAAGAAAACAGGGCAAGGGGTGTGGATGCGGGTTGGGTGGAGGAATGTTCTCTGCGCAACAGGGAAGTGATAAGTAACATTTGGGCACCTCCGTGGGGAGCAGGAGACGAGCCGTGAAGTACCCAGAGTCAGAGGCCCGGGTTCACCTATGAGCCCGTCCCTCAGCCCCCAGGCGCCCTCACCCCGTCCTCAGCCCTGCAGGACACACCCCTGCCCGCAGGGCTGTGGGCGGAGGGGCCCTCTGTGATTTGCCGCCCGCCCTGTGGTCGGAGGCTCCTGCGGACGGCTGTTGGTGGGTCCCAGCTGGATCCATCTTGCCTTGACCAGCCCTGTCGGCCTTGTTCTTTAGGTCTCCTCCAGCCCATCTCTCCAAGTGGCTACTGAAGGGACCAGCCCACCGTTCTAAGCTGCATCCTACCCCTGTGCAAGGCCCTTCAGTGTCTTCCCCTACCCTTAGGGGAATTAGGGATTAGGACCGAGGCCTTGAAGGCATTGTAAGACAATTGACCAGCTGGTCCCCACCCCACCTCTCCAGAAGCGTGTCTCGCTTTGGCAACACAGACCCTGTGCACTGTCCTTTGCTACCTGGGCAATGCCCTCCCTGGGCTGGCTGGCTTTTTCTTTTCTTTTTTTTTCTTTCCTTTTCTTTTCCTTTCCTTTTCCTCTCCTTTCCTTTCTTTGTGTATAAATTCCATTCAACGCTCAAGACTCAGCCCAGATATCTGTCCCCAGGCTGAGTGAAGTCCTGTCTTCTCTCTGCTTCCTTGCTCCTGTCCTCATCATAGGATATGTCACTGTCATAATTTACATGCGTGTCTCCTGCACCAGAGGGACAGTCCCCACAGGGTCTCATTGTCTTAATCCTCCTGCACCCCAGTGCAGTGACGGGCACATGGTGAGTGCTCAGCATACATTCATTGAAGACACGATTGAGTGGGGTCAGGGTAGTGCAGGGGGTGCTTGGCCTGATAGAGCAGATGGGCCCCAGGCTAACTTTGGCTCTACTATGAACCAGCTTTGTGGCCTTTGACAAAGGTGCCTCCTGCTGAGCCCAGTTTCCTCATCTGTTAATTGGACAACGATGCCCCCTTAGGGGTTGGTGCAAGATCAGACGGGATGCCCTATGTGTCAAGTGGCAGTCTGCTTTCTGGATGTCTAGGATTCTGAGTCAGGAACCCCCAACTCTTTTGCTGCAGGGGGCTTTCCTCTGTGACCTGGTACTTATCTACTTCATCAAGAAGAGCCACTTTTACCGAGACAAGAAGTACGAGGAAGTGAGGTCAGTGATGCTTCCTCCCCAGCAGTGTGAGGGGACCCTTGAAGAGCCCCCTTGACCAGCCTTCCCATCCCCGGCCTAGAAACTTTACCCTGGTTGGATGGTGGTGCTTGGGGTGTGGAGGGAGGCAGGGCTGAACCGTTGGGAGCCCCCCTGGAAGGGCAGCAGAAGGTGGGATGTTTGGAGAACCTGCTTTACCGAGCTGGAGGTTGCCCCACAGCAGCTGCAGAAAACAAGGCCTGCCTAGGATGGGCAGGAGACTTGGTTTCCCAGCCTGACTCTGCCACTATCTACCATGTGACTTCACACAAGTCCCCCCAGGCTTCCTTGGGCCTCAGTGTCTCTCTCTGTGAGCCTTTGAGCACTTAAATTTTAGGATTCTTGGACATGGTATTCCTGGTGGACTGGGGCTAAGGGACGCTGGAGTGGCAAGGGAAGAAAAAGACGGATTTCTTGTTTTTTACTCTGGGGGTCTATTTCCAGGCTCTTTTGGGCCGTGAGCTTGGTGGTGTGTTATGTGTGTATTCATAGCAGCAGAACACAGTGTAAGTGCGAAATCCAGAGGTCTGTAGGCATATTGGAAGGGGAAAGGGGCTCTGGCCCAGCCATTCTGGAAGAGCTGGGATCAGAAGGGGGATTGCAGATGGTGGGCTCCAGATGGGCACGGGCACTCCCTTGTCCCCACCACAACACATCATTCCCTGGACTGAACCGGCCCTGAGGCAGGCTGAGCCCTTAACCCTGACCCTGACGAAGGCCTCATCGCTCCACGGCTGGAGGGACAGGGGTGCCCCCCCTCGCCCCCGCTGGGCTCTGCAGGCCAGGGTTAACTGGGTCCTGTCCTGCCCAGAATCCTCCGGGTCCTCCAGGGGCTGGCAGAACCCTCGCAGCAGGGCGGGACCCCAGAGGCAGAGGAGGCCGGGCAGCCTGAGGCGCATCTCAGAGGTGGCACCCGGAAGGGGAAAGGCTGTGCAGGCCAGCAACACCTCCAGACCCCCAGGTGAGGGGCTGTGGGGCAGAGGACCCCGGGATGAGCCTTGCAGAGATGGCATGGGCCTCTCCTCTCCTGCCTGCTCCAGGGCGATCTGGCTGCAAGGCAGGATGTCCAGGACCCAGGAGAGCCCACCCACGCTGGACTGTGTGGAGAGGGGGCGCTTTAGCCTGGTATTCCTTCCACGCCCCCAAATGACCACAAGGCCGCCCGCTTGCTGTGCACTCCCAGCCGTACCACCATTCCCTCAGGCTTACTCTGCTGCCGCTTCTCTGAGCTCTTTGTATGTATGAACTCCTTCCGGCAACCTCCTGGGGGGCACACTAGCCGTCCCTCTTCTAACAAGGAAATGGAGGCAAGGAAGGTTAAGTAACTTGCTCAAGTCACAGCTAATACGTGGGAGAGCTGGGATTTGAACACAGGCAGTAAGTCTCTGAGATCCAGTTCTTCTCCATCAGGTTTTTCTGCCTCATCAAGTCCATTCTGCTGCCCCCCATCAGATGCTTTCCTTGCCTGTTGCTGTTGCTGTGGGGGCTCTGGGTGCCCTCTGGGCACCACCACAGTGGCAGCTGCTCATTATGACCCCAGAGACCCCAACCCGAGCATCCACACGCGGCCGGGCTGTGGCCGGGGTGGGGGGGGGTCCTCTGGACGGCCCCTCTCTCTGGATGCGCTGAGGGTGGGCTCTGCCTTTAGGGCGGCCGTCTCTGTTCTCAGGGTTCCCGATTGTCCTCTGTGTGCCCCCCTCCTCCCCCCGCCCATCCACACACAGGTCTGGCCACCTGGGGAAGGGAGAGGTGAATGTGGAGCAGCTACAGAACCTGCAGACTGTGGACGCATAGCCAGAGGTGTCAGCTGAGAGCAGATCTGGTGAAGATGTTGGGGCTGAACCACCTGCAGCTCTGAACTGAGCAGTGTCTTGTGTTTGCCTGGGATCCTGCTGCGGGCTTTGTGCTGGGTGTGCTGTGTGTGTGGCTGGGGCTGGGGCAGGGGAGCCTCCTAGCGGCCAGAGTGGCTCCGATCTGCAAGAGGCGGCCTTGGAGAGCCAAGTGGGGTAAGGCCGCCGGCCTGGGTGGTACTAAAGTGTTTTCGTTTTTCTGAGAACCTAGTTCGTTCATTCATTCGTTCATTCACACGATACACATTATTTGCTGTAGGCTGTGCCCCATCCAAGAGATGCTTAAATGAGACGCTGACCTGGCCCTCGGGGGCGGGGGCGGGGAGAGCACACGTGTAATTCCCTCCAGAGCCAGTAGACATCACAACCAGCCTCGACCGGCCTGGCCTTCCTCCAGCCTCTAGCTGAGACCCCTGGCTCCTCAGAGAAAGGCTTTGGCTAACATCCACGGGGACATCTGGCCTTGCCCTCAGGGATAAAAAAAGGTGGCCAAGGAGGCCACGAGGAAAGGACTGGATGTGTAAGGAGGCAGCTGGCCCTTGCGGGGAGATGCAGCCTCGAGGGCTTCCAGCTAAGGTGGGGAAGGGGAGGCAGGGAGGCCTCTGCTCCAGTCTGCCTGCCCAGTCTCAGGAGGCCTCGGGCATAGTGTCTCACCTAAATGGGAGATTACGTGCCTGTGCCTGTCTCGCAGTTCTGTGCAGCTGGGTGACCCTACCTGGCCCCCCTCCCTTTCTCCTCAAAGGCTGGGTCTGAAGGGCTGGTGATAACAATAGGTGGCACTCACGTGGCAGGTGGAAGCAGTTGTTACTAGGGAGGCCCTCGCCCCTCACCCCAGCCTCTCCTTTCTCGCCCACTCCACCCCACCCCCACCCTGCAGAACGGTGCTGCTCCCCCCCTAGTGGCTGTAGAGCCTCTCTACTTCCAGTGTGGCCCAGCGGCCTCCCCTGGGAGCTTGTTGGAGATGGCAGTCGTGGGCCCCTCCCTTCTCCTACATCAGAACCTGTTTCAGGAAGATTCCTAGGTGATCCGTGTGAACATTGCTGCTTGAGAGCACGGGTTAAAGAGATCTGCCAAGCCTGGTTCCAAGGGAGGAAAAGGCCCGCTTTGACAGGTGATGCCAATGTCTAGGTCAGACTTACACATATTGTACTTTGAGAGCAAGAGGATTCCCCACCCCCACCCCCAGGAAAGTGGCAAGCTCAGTGTATTTAAATTAAAATATTTTGACTAGATAATACTTCTATGATTCAAAAACTAAAAGGTACAAAAGATGACAGTGAAAAGCTCCCCTCCCACCCCTGTTCCCCGAGGCAGCCTGTTAAACATTTCAAGAGGCTCTCCTGTTTTGCTGAGCATCTACTTGGTTACTTGTGCCGTCACTCAGGAAATGAACTCTTCCTGATGCCTGCAACATCAGACCAAGTCTCCTCTGTCAGAAAGGGACACGATGGAGGACACTTAAGTACTGGGCTGGGGAGTCGGCTAGCTCACTTCTCCCTCTCCCAGCGTCTGAGGAGTCCCTGTGTAAACCCAAGAGGAGAGACCTAGAACTCATCACTCACTGCTGTCTGATCGCTCAGTAGCAAAGGCCCGCGGTGCTGCCTCTGGCCCAGCAAGCCCTGGTGCTTTGTTCTCACAGCCACCCGGATGCTAGGGAGCGTCCTCTTTGGAAGTGCGCTCTCTGGGCCACCGTCAAGTCAGAAGGGTTTGGTTCTCTGCACACAGAGGAGGCGGGAAGCATCCTTCCACTGGGGCCTTTGGAGAGGTCAGAGGGACTTGCAAGAGGGCTGTGCCCCTGGGGCCAAGAAGCATAGTCCCCCCCAAACAGGAAGCTTGCTCCTTGTCGAGTAACCTGTCAACAAGCCCACTTGCTCTCTGAATGGAAAGTGAAAACTCCGGGTGATCCACTATGGTGTTCACTTCCTCACTAAAGCAAACCCTAGGGTTTGATAATCTGGCATGGTACTTTCATGTTCCGGAGGAAGTAAAAAGGGCAGGCACCTTGGCTGCTTAGGAGTCAGTGTGGTTTGTGTGAACCCGTCTTTAGAATTGCTTGGCAGTGGCCACGTAACTCGGGGAAAGTTGTACTATTGATCTTACCCTGGGATCAGAATGGCTCCTTACAGTATTCATTCAATTGGTAAATATTTATTGGGTACGTATTGTCCGGTGCTGGACTAGATATGGGGACACAGTTGTGAGAAACACAAAACTGTCCCTGTCCAAGTGCGTACAGTCTCGGAGGCGGTGTACCTTAGTCAGTGGTCACGCCTATGACCACAAACTGAATTTTCGGCAAGGGGTAGCCAGAGGTTTCCCCAAGGAAGTGACATGTAAGCTGAAATCTGAAAGCCATCTAACTAGGCCATGGGGAAGCATTCCAGGTAAGGGAAGCACACGTGTAAAATGAACACTTTGACATGAGAAGGAGTAACTGAGGAAATGGGTGGAGACAGTGTGACTGAATCTGGTTTTATGAGGCTTTCTTTCCATCCACTGACTTTAAGGGTTGCCATTAAACTTCAGTGTCACAGAGGACTTAGCTTCCAGTCCAGCTAAGCTTTCCAGGTGGCCCCCCCTACACATCCTGGGTCCTGGGCTCAGAAAAGCCAGTGACCCCATTCCAGCTTCTGGATAGTATTGCACGCTGCCAGTTTCCTTGCTTTTGCACAACCCCCCCCCCTTTTTTTTGCATAATCTCGGTGCACGAGTGGGAGGCTCCTGAATCTTACAGAAACTGGCTTTGAAATGGGAAGTGAAATGGGAACCTGAGCCCCACTTGGGAAGGCCCCTTCCCTTTGGGGCACCAGTTGCCTCCTCAGGAAGATGAGCATATCAGCCTCTCCAGAGCTCCTTTCCATGCTGACATTACAGGATCACCTGAACCATCTACGCCTACCTTCAGGCCCTGGCCTAAAGCCATCCACCTGGTATTTTCCTCATGATTTAATTCCATGCCTTGGGAGTGCCATGATGCTGGCCAATGGGCTCTGTAAACTGGGTGCTACTATCAAGAGGACCAGCCATGAAAGAGCGAAGTGTTCTCACCAGGGCTGACCAGTCATGGCTGCCTTCTTGCCCCCGCCACCCCATCAGTTCTTCTCAGTGCTGTGAAGTGGGAACAGGACTTCCTTCAGGTATCTGAGCACCCCAGCTAAGGACTACCGTGCTCTGCAGAGTCCCTAAATCACCCCACTTGGAATGGCATCTTGCACGTCTGAAAAAGGGCTCCACTTGATTGCAGTCCACCCACCCAAGTGATGCAACTCTCCTCAGAGCATACTCTCCAGTGGACCCTAGAGAACTGTCTCTTCAAAAGGCACACCTTTCTCCTGGCTGTTTGTTTTCCCTTAGGCCAGTGCACAGAATTAAGAGGAGGAAAGATGGCAGCCATTGTCTGGGACCTGCCGTATAAACGTATTCTGATATTTTTGTTTGGTTATAAAACAATAAAAGGTTTTAACTTTAAATGTATCTTGATTTTTTCCCCTCTTCGTATCTTCTTGGTCACCCTGTGTTTTAGAGGAAAATGTAAGGAGAAAGTGAGACCAAAAGAGGCAGACACAGGAACAATCGGTGAGCAATAGATTATGTTCCCTATTATTTTGCAAAGAAATTCAAATGGAAGGAAACTAAATGAGCAAACATTAAAAGGCTAGGAAGGCACCATAAAACTGGTACTTTTTCATTCAATGAGTGTTAACTGATAAAACTCTGGAAAGCATTTGGAATCAAGTTTTTATCTTGTTTTAGGAGTTAAGTTCCCTCAAAATGATATAAAGACAGTCTCTGCAATATTTTTTATAATAGTGAACATTTCAAACAACCTTACTGCCTAGTGATAGAGAAATGGTTAAGTAAATCAGCTCACTTATTCCGCACTACCCCCCCCATCCAGTAGGACTGCCTCTTTACTCCACATCAGGAATGAACTTTCCCTTTCCACGGAGAGAAAAGCCCTAAGAGGTCAGGGAGGTTGAGAAGGGTGAGTATGCAAACCATGCTTGTGAGCCTCTTCAGGGGTGTCCTGAGAGGTGTCCTGAGTGGGTGAGGGAGGCAAAACTGTGGTCTCACCTGTTTCTTCCCTTCGTGTGCAAGCATGTGGCCCAGAACCCCCAAAGGCTTCAGGAGGTCTGAGTCCCAGATCCATCTCTGTTATCTGCCATGGGCCACATACTGTCTGTAAAAGGGGACTTGGATTCAAGCTCAGATCCTCTTCTGACCTGAAACTGATTCTTTTGAAAAAATCCAAATGTGATCACATCACTTCTGGCTAAAACTTCCAAAAGGCTTCCCCCAATTGCTCTAAGGATTAAGGCCAAAATCTCCACTACAGCCTTCCATGATCTGGTCCAACTACTGGTCTTGGCCTCTTCTCCAACTCTCCATGTACAGGCCAAACTTCTTCCTACCCAGTGGTCCTCACACATGTGCTTTCTTGAAAGTAGCCCCTTCTTCATACTTGTTATTCAACTTTGAGGTCTCAAATATAATTTCCTCAAAGACTTTTTTTTTTTAAGATTTATTTTGAGAGAGCATGAGCACACGCGCTAGGGAGGAGGGCAGAGAGAGGGAAAGCAGACTCCCTGCTGAGGTCCTAGCCTGAGGCAGGGCTCCATCCCAAGACTCCTCCCCGCCACCCCCGCCCCAAGATCATGACCTGAGCCTAAATCAAGAGTCAGACACTTAACCGACTAGGTAATAGGTAATACTGGTCTTCCCAGTTAGACTACAAATTCCATGAGCAACATGTTCACTACTATGACTCTAATGCAATATGTATTTCTCAAATGTATGTACTTTATTCTAAGATATCCTCTGACAAGCAGGGATCATGGGTTAGCACAGAGACAGAAGCATTACACTACACTCTAAACAGGCCCAAAGTTTAGCTTAAATGTCTTCTATTTAATCTCCATTAGATATATTCTAGAAAAGAGCTTGAACGTATTTAAAATGGAAATGACAGCTAGCTGTAACTAGATGAAATGGAACTGAAATTCATACCTGAAAGTGGTGGTTACTGAGCCGGGCGGCTGGGATCTGAAGAGGTACACTCAGCCAGTACAGTGAGAGCAATTGAAGACCTGTATTTCAAACTTGGCTCTCTTTCTAGCTGGGCCTCTTATGGCAGAGGTATATTTAACCTGAGCCTCAGATTCATCAATGAGGGATAATAATTATATCTACCCCATGAGGATACTGCTAGAATTAAATGAGATAACGGGTGTAAAAGGTACAAGGCACAATGCTTGGCATATAGGAAACGCTTAATATTAACTGTTCATTAGTTCTTAGGATGTTAACAGTAAGTTCTCTTTACTTGGGCCCCAGTGGCCCTCTCTGGATGGCCTACGTGTAAATTCAAGGAAATCACAGAAGGCTAAGACCCAGCCCAGCTCTCTAGGAGTCAAAACTTGGCGTTCTGCACCCACGGCAGACATGGGGTATGAGTGAAGATACGAAAATACTCCACGAAGTGTCTCACGTTTCATTTAATCTGAAGAATATTACAGGCTCTTCGTCTTCAGCTATAAATTATAACGTTACAGAACAAGCAGCGAATTTAACAATTTAAAAACTAAGTTTACACGGTGTTAATTTCTGGCGACAGTCCTCCCAATCTGTTTTTTTAAAAAAAGTCATCCCTGCCCCCGTTCAGTAGACGTGCACCATGCCATAGAGGAACGTCCAGAACAGGACGTAGGTGAAGAGGCCTCCGATGAGACCTCCTGTAAAGAGGGGTCTTCGTGATTTAAAGTATTTGTTCCACCTCCTTCCCGCTTTGAGAATTAAGAGCAGGGAGAGCAGGATGGAGGCAAGCAGGTAGAAGATGAAGCCGTAGAGGCCGGTGAGGCCGAGGATGCCGGCCGTGGCCCCCGACAGCGCTGACACTGAGGTCCGGCAGTAATCCAGGACGGCGGCGTTGCCTCGCACAGCTGCCTCGCTGATGAACGGCGGCCCTTCCCGCTTGGCCACCACAGCGGCCATCGCACTCGCCCGGGCTCAGCCTCTGTCTTTTCGCGGAGCTGCGGAGGAAACCAAGTTGCAAGTGGCCCGCAGAGCCTGGCGAGTTACCTTAACGCCGCCCCTCCCCCCGGGACTTCCAACACCTCACACCACTCCTGCTTCTCGGACCTTCAAAAGACGCAGAGAAGGCTGAGGGCTCGGGCCAACCCACCCAGGCTCACCCAGTTACCTGCAACACGGCGGCGGACACAGACACTTGGCGTCCCGTCAGACGACCAGTGGCAAAGCGCCTCCCGGCGCCATCTTGCGCTGGAGGTTGCTGGGAGGATTCACGCTGCGCATGCGCTTAAACCTCGCTCCCGCCCCCTGACGCGGGCGCCCACCCACTCCCCGCCTTTCTACGCTCGCACAGGGACTTCCGGAAGCCGAACAGCGCTCCGGCGGGTGACTGGCTGGGGCTTCGTTACTATTCATGAAGGGGCGGCCCGAGTCGGGGTGCCTTTGTTAAGCAGGGAGGGCGCGGCTGCTGGGATTTTCGCTGCGGGTTTCCCTGAGCTGGGCTTGGTTTCCAGATTGGGGTCGAGATGTCCTACATCCCGGGCCAGCCGGTCACCGCCGTGGTGGTGAGTGCGCTCGCGGGCTCCTCTCGGTCTTGGCTTAGCCCCACTTTGCAGATAGGAAAACGGACACCCCGCACAGGTTGACAAAGCGTGGAACCCAGGGCTGTTGCAAACCGGCGGCCAGGCCTTCGGTCCCGGCTCTGTCCCAGCGGGACTGCGGTCTTCCCCAGCCAGGAAATAGAGATGGCCGGGGCCCAAGTGCCCCCGGAACACCCGGAGTCGCGACCAGACCCCGCGCACTGCCGCCGCCTCGTTGGACTCCATCCCGCCGGCAGAGGCGGGAAGGACTGAGGAGAAAATCCTCAGCTGTGGGAGTATCGGGAGAGCGCCCTCTTCCCCGGCCCGAGGCCCCAGCTGGGCAGCGGCGGGGGGCGGGCGCCAGCCCCGACGGCCGTGAGTCGCAGCCTCTGGAATG